TAAGCTGAAGCGCTGCTCCCTGCTCCTCTGGCCCAAGTTTAGCAGCTCTCAGCCGGCCTACAGATTTTCAATCGCCCGCCCTGCCTCTGAAACGCTCTGAAGCTGTCGGTGACGAAGGGACAATCTCAACGTTGATAGGCTATCGCTACTCAGTGTCATGCGAAGGAATTCCTTCGCTTCGCCTGCATCGCCCCCTTTGCGTCACTTCACGCCACCTGACAGATGGCTCTACACGTCTTTGCATTGACTTTGTACGTAAACTCACCGCCCGGAACGCTCGCTTCGCTTTTGGTCTGAAAGCACCATAAGCCCCATCTACCTTGATTTTACATTTTAAAACAGCCAACGTTATTCATTATCACCACCCACATACAAACACACACACACACACAGCTCTTGCCTTAAAAGAAGGTCTCTCTGAGAGCAAGTGAAAGCACAGGGGTCCTCCAGAGAGACTTTGATTTGAAGCAGACAAACAGATTTAGCTGATTGTAGGATTGTGGCGGTCACTCACAACAAGCCATTTATCCTTAACAGAGTGGCCCTTGCTGCCTGTCCTCTGCCCATCACAAACACAACACTCACCCACTGAGACCACAACGAGGTAGGGCAGATCCCTGGATAACTGGGTCACATGGTGCCGAGGTTTTAGCAAGAAGCTGGCATCACAGAACTTTATCTTCAAATAATTTAAGAAGCCTCGACTTAATAACACCAGGGCGCCAGAGGTCATGGGGAACATGTAAGAGTGCGTCTGTGTGTAGCTGTGTTCGGTCAGCAGAGTTATTGGCTTTACTGAACTGAGCAGAAGTGAAGAAAATGTCCCAGTGTGTACGGATGCCTGAAAAGCTCAAGTCTGTCATCTGTCTAACTATGGCTTAAAATATCTGAATAAGAATAAGGTGAATAATTTGCACTGTCACATCACTTACGACAGAAAATTAAGTCAGCCTATTTGTCCTTTGATTATTATGCACAAGTTAACCAGATGCTATTTTGGTCCAGATATATTCAGAAGCTCAGCAAAGCAAGGACAGCAATATTTTTTAGGCGATGTGTCAATACAAGACCTGGGGATGGAATATAGTATTATTATCTATCCATTAGTGTCGCTACTATTCTTAAGGATTCAAGGATCTTTATTGTCATTCTGCTATGTAAATATGAAGAGCAAAATTAGTACTCAGGTCTTGGCCTCAGCCAGTCCTAAAACTCATCTTATCATAAAATAATAAAGCTTAAATACAGAGTAAAATAAATAAAGTAATAAAGTACAGTGCCGCCTTAAGACATTACATAATAAAACCATGCTTAAAATGCAGTGTCAACACTATAAAACAGTAACATGTCCACTTTTGATGCTGCTACTAATACCTATGACTTCAATGAACACTACTATTCCACTCCTAAAACTACTGCTACAAGTACTATGTGTAATTCAATTACTACAACGATAACTAGCATTATTTACTACTGCTACTTTATTGAGATTTATTGTGAAAGCACTGTTCCAAGAAATTGAAAGACGAGCTAATGATGGGCTTCTCCTGCAATTACTACAACAATAAAAAGCGGTATTACTACTGCTACTACTAAGAGTAGTATTTAGTAGTATTGTCTCAAGAAATTACTGCAGCCCATAAGTCAGATATGTTGAAACTCATTGATACCAATAATGAGCATTGTATTTGTTTTTGTCAGGATGTTCTGATGTTGACACTCCTTACTGATGGTAGCAGGTAACCTAGGACAGCATGCTTAGTCTTCTCAGGAGACGAATGAAGGTCTAAAATGGACTAGATCAGCATGTCGATTAAAGCAGAACGTAACTGCAGGTTTCATGCATTTCACCATGTCTACTCACTAGGGTTGGGTCTCAAGAACCAGTTCCAAGTTATCCATACCAAATTTCCAAGAACAATGGATTTGTTAAGACACATGCATTTCGATTCTGCTTTTCTGTTCCTAACTTTTTGCATCTTTCAGTTGTGCTCCTGATTAAACCGCAGTGAGCATTTTACAGTACATAAAAGTTGCACTTATTCGCGGACCTCACATCACGTCATTTGTTACGCTGTATGACACAGGAAAAATGCACCACCTGCGAAAGAATATTTCATGCAAGGGAGGAAGCACCTCCAATATGGAGAATTTACTTCAATATGGCATGAATCTGAAGGAATGCTTAAATCAAAACGATAATTAATATGTCATGTCTAAGACAAATATATTTAGAATCATTTGTTTACATTCAATATAAAAAAGGTCATCTGAGTTTTGTTTAGCAGTATCTGGGGCGTTAGTGTTATCTGGGGCATCCGCAATACATTAACACAGCGCGTTTAAGGGCTTCGTAATATTTCAGCTGCTTTCCCTTGTACAAAATATCCTTACTGCGTGCATTGCGGTGTTGCATTTTGCTGTGTAAGCTCTGTGTAAGCAACACCGTTGGGTCAATATTTAACCACTACTTTAAGCTGAATAGGTTTATCAAAACAACTTTTCCTTGTTGATTTACTCCAGTGGCATCTCCCTTATTACAAACAAAGGAATAGACGTATCTTGAATGTTAAGGAAAGAATGACAGCAAGCAAATACTAACTTTTACTTAAACCCCGCATATCAAATGTGCTTCACTACCAAGATGATGTGGTTTGCTTGAGAAGATATCGATTTTAGCATTTATCATACTACACTGTTGTTCTACGGACAGCCATTAAGCTAACACTACAGATTCACACAATAATCCGTCAGTGGATTTATGTTTTATAAATGTCTGACTGACACACCTTTTGTCTTGTTGAGTAGATATAAAAGAACTATTTTTGCAGTGCCTTTCTTGTAGTTTCAAGAGCTACACTCTCGTCTAGTTTACAATGTGTTCATTAGTTGCTTCATTAGGTCAGGGGTTTTGGCAGACTTTTTCATTTGTTGTTCCTGTCAGAAAATACTGCACTGTCGTGAACCATTTCTGCACCACTGTGTACTTTGAGCAAACAGGGATAAAGATGTGTTACAGCTGCACAACCTCGTTTTTCCTCTCTGTGACAAACTGTAGCCTCAAAATCTAAACCGCACACTTATACGAGTGTTTCAACATTGATACGATGACAAATACACTAAACATCGGTGATAAAGCCTATGTCATAACAAATAGTTGACAGTGGGATGCACACTATCAGCCAACAGTAATTTGAAAACAGTAAGGCCCCTTGATGACATGTGTTTAATTCAGCGTTCGCGTGGTTGACAGCATGAGGGCAGGGTTTCTTAACCTTTTAGTGGCAGGTGATGTCATCTTAAGGTCAGAAACATCCCCCATTGGCATTTCAGACAGTGTCTATTTAATAACAAATGCATGCAATGATCTTTTTAGTTTTCAGGAAAGCATTTACATCATACCATGCTCTGATATGAGACTGGACTGTGTAGGGCATTTTAGTTAACAGTATTGTGATAAAGTTCAATCTTGTATTTTCAGGGTCTTGAAAGCTGCATTAGTGTTAACTTGCTGCTATTTACCAATTATTGTTTTTCATAAAGGCTGTTCGGGGCAGTCATATCCTGACTGCCTTCCTATCAGATCTGGGCCACAATGACCTGTAGATATGAAAAAAATGAATTTCAACAAAGGCCTATCAATCCTTCTGAATGTCTATGCATTGGCCACATGCACTCAATCAGGACACCAAACACTTATCAGCTCACTCACTCAATGATCCTCTGTCTCTACACGTTGACCACCTGAACGAGCAAGTGCAAATCAAGCCACCTCACTGAGCAGATCTATGACTACTCTCCAAAAGCCCCATGTGAACAGCTTTTCCAAAATAACACATATTAGATTTTACTGTCATCTCCATGTAGATTTGGTTAAAAATATTAGAGGATTTGTTTATATCACAGAGCTGGGATCATAACACCATGGATAAAGCAAGCAGCCTGGCTGCACACCATCAGCAGCCACCTGAAACCACCTCTGAGACTTCACCACTGTGCTTTTCACTTGTTTCTCCACACGCACTGTGCAGTGACATTCCCCAATGATACCAGACATGCTACCTGTTGGTGTTTTTCACCCTGCTGCAGGCTACAAGGCAAACGTTTTGCTTTCACCGGTGTGCAATGACAGAACATCAGGGGGCACACAAGATACTGAATAAATGTAATATACAGGGGTACTGTGACACTATCTGGACAAATACTTATGATTTAAATGATCAACAATTAATATAAGGCTGTCAAATGAAGCATGCATTCTGAGGTTCTCTTAAAATACCCACTTTTCAGGTCCCTAACTCTGGAGTACACTGCTAATATAGGTCATATATAAAGGTCTTGCTATTAGGTGTGTGTTTATCCTCCACATCCATGATAACCAGAGCTGGTTTTGACATGGGACATGGAAAACTCGAAAGACAGGTACATCAGCCCAGAGGCGGCGGAATATCCTGCGTGCATAGCTTAATTTCCCCCAGGAACTGACCGCCGTTCAATTACGTGGAAAGAAAAACGTCACGCAAAACACCGCTGAAAAAGCTGCCAAATCAATGTGTCAAATTCATCAGCAGGTACACGTAGACCTCACAACATGACATAACATCTTCAGCTAAACGCTACTAGATGTTTTTCGCGTTTCGGCTACAAGTGACCCACTGTGGTCAATTTTGATTCGGTAATATTCACAAGTTGTACACATGGCGTAACGCACACTCACAGCCACCACGAGTTAACGTTAAGCCGGCGGAGAAGACTTTCGAGATAAGCGAACATTTTGTAAAAGTTCAAATTGTATTCACTTTGGTGGTCCTTTGTGTGTTATATGTGAGCCGAATCGTAGAGGGGATAATAAAGATTCGTACAAGGGGTTGAGTAATGTTCTACCATGAATATCAACTGCTCTAAGCCAAGGCAAATATAAAATGTCAGCTTTTTAGCGGAGTTTCGCGTGGCGTTTTTCTCCATAGTACGAACAGTTCGTGAGCTCAACAGATCCTTACCTCTTTGACTTTAGCCCGTCTTTCCTTGGTTTCTGGGTCCAGAGGTTCGTGTCCAGTCGCCCCGGGCGGGCGGTGATACTCAACGAAAGGTAAATTATTGACATCATTCCCACCTTGACCCATACTCCCCGTCGCAACTTTCTTCTTCTCATTTATAATGTCTTGTTTTATCTCGTCGGGTCGTTTTTGTAGAGTATCCTTAGCCTCTAACAGAGCTTTTTCGTGGTCTTTCCTGATTTTGGCCAGGACCCTCTCGTCGTTTCCAGACGAACCCGAATCGCTGCTGTCCGGACCGGTGCGGGTGTTGGTCTCCACCGCGGAGGAATGAAAGAAAACTCCGCTAAGCAGCTTGGACGAGTCCGGTAGGAAGAAAATGGCCCCGAAACATAGGGTTATAAAAGCGCTGAACACTAATAACAAAATAAATTTCTCTGTCAACCTGAAAGAGGTCGGGCTGGCAGACTTCCTATTCGGGGTCGCGGTAAAAGGCAGAAGAGTTGCAACTGGCATTTTCCCTCTTCCTTCAACAACTCGAACAACAACCAAAAAAAATGTGTTTAAACGGTCGGCTTAACTCACGTCGGGCTCACTTTCGGCTTATTCCGTTCAGAAATCCATTTCCAGACGATATAACCCGTGTCAAATGTAAAGTATAAGTGGTAAAATCTCCGTTAAAAAGTTGAGGAGTGAGGCTGCTGCCCATACCGGAGACTCTCCGCAGACAGACAGAGTCCAACGGCTTACACAGGAAGCAACGGCAGATGGGCGTGACTGACAGCGGCGATGAGCTAATCACTTTCTGCCCTGTGAGTGGTGGCAACCCGGGGGGCGTGTCCTCCCAACGGCTCGTATAAAGCCGCTGACAGCCGCGCTCTCAACTTCATATTAAAAGACTGAACAAGTTATATTTTCATTTTGGTTGTTGAAACTTCACCAAATCCTGATCAGTATTGAAGAATATGTGCGTTTTATTAAGTTCCTAACAAATTTTGTACGTTTTTTGAGCCTGTATTTGAACTGTACATACCTGTACATGTGTGTGCATTCATTCTGTTCATTATTTACACACATATTTTTACTGGTTGTGTTTAGCATGCTTAAAAATCATACGTAGTCAAATGCATTTGACATTTTTGTATTTTATTATCACATATCACAGATGAGCTATGTTATGTAGGCCTAGGGGTACTGCAATATATGTAAAGTGTAAAGTAATCTCAGTCTGCTATTTTCTAACTGAGAGGAGGGGACTGATGAACCACATGTGTGGATGAGGACTGCATGTTTCAGAGCATTTCTTGTTTTAAGCGATTTGTACAGATATACCACCAACATACAGCCTGCATTAAAGGAACATCCAGTAGCTGGCCAGAGGCATCAGTCTTGGTTTTCTTGCTTCTGTTTTTGAATTTTCTCAGGCAGGTCGTTCTGGAGCCTCTGGGCCCTGACAGCAAATGCTTTGTTTCTTTTCGTTCTTAGTCTGGATATAGGAATAGTCAAGAGAAAAGGCGATCTCAGAAAGAAGCAGAAAGTTTTTCAGTTGCATTATAGATTTGAAGGTTGTATTCAGGCTGTCTAAGGTATTCAAACTGACTGAAATGGATGTGAGAAAAATGAAAGATAGAGACAATTGAGACAAAATACAATGATATGAACGATCAACACTGTTTCTGTAAAGCTGGGTAGGCCTCTATTCATTATTACATTCATTAAAAAGCAGAACAGTAGGGCTTTATTACGTTACATTCAGTAGGAAGTGAGCTAGCGTTAGCTAACTAACATCACATTAGGAACAATCCACAGCCCACATTTTTCTGGATTTATTTTAGGTTTTGGAACTAGAATAAATCGTACTTCTCCTTTCAACCTCTCTGGGTAGCGACTGTAATTATTAGAAGTGCCCCAGGAACAGCGTTTGACCATTTGGAAAAATATAGCCAAAAAAACCTAGAAAATGACTCCTTTTGTATTAGAGTCAATGGAGCGCAGCCAAGTGTCGGACTTAAGTTAGAGCGAGTCTTATACTGCGCTGTGATTGGCCAGCTGTGTATTTGGGGCGTGGCTTAGCGAAAGGTCAATTGACTCTGATGCAAAAGGAGTCATTTTCTAGCTTTTTTTGCCCATATTTTTTAGAGGCCTACCCAGCTTTACAGGAACAGTGTTGATCGTTCATATCATTGTCTTTTGTCTCAATCGTCTCTATCTTTCATTTTTTTCACGTCCGTTTCAGTCAGTTTGAGTCCGTTAGACAGCCTGAATACAACCTTCAAACCTACAATGCAACTGAAAAACTGTCTGCTTCTTTCTGAGATCGCTTTGTCCAACAAATTTGACAACATTTCTCCGGGGAGTGCAGTAATAGATAGTGGCAGCGCTGACAGTTTGTCGGACTTACCAACAGTTTGTCGGACTTACCAACAGTAACTAAGAGGGGCGGAGCTTAGCGAAGGGTCAGTTGTATTGTGAGAATTATCAGTTATCACAAATCACCACCAGGGGAACAAAAGCATGACTCACAGGCAGTTTAAGATAAAAGTTAACATTTACTTGAATAAAAAAACAGGCAAGGATCAAAACCAGGCAGGCAGTCAGAATAGGGCAAAGTTATCCAGAAAGAGGTTAGGCAGAGAATCATTAAACACAACTGAAATATCTGAAAATTACTTCAGTAAAAATACATTTGCTTCATCAAGTGCCTGTTTGTGATGAAGGAGCTTCTTTTCTCTTACTGTGTCCATGTTTATCTGACTCCTAGTGGCCAAACATTAATCAGTACAGCTCCAGTGGCATTCTGACTCTAGATCTGACTTTATGTGGATTAAGACATGGTGGATGGCTATTATTAATCATATAATTTTAATCAGTTTTATATCCCCTCACTATGCTAGAATTTAGAATAGGCTAAATGTTAATGTCCTCAGCATGCTTAGTTTGAAGGGTTTGGTCAACACAGTAATGCGTCCACATTTGTTACTACTTTATTTGTAGCATGTGTAGATTGGGGTGCAAGTAAAGACAGTTATTTTCCACCAGCCTCAACATTCCTCATCGGCTTACCTTCTCAACATGTCATGTGTCTTTCTGCCCGGCCTTCAGTTCTGTGATCTGGTCGCTTGTGAAAGAATGAGGGGGTGGCTTCAGGCCAATGAGTAATTACCAAACTGGTGATGTTGAAAAGAGGGATCACTAAAACCAATGCTACAGCAGAGTTGTTGTTGCTGTTATATTATTTATCACCCAGGCTTTATAACTCACGTACTGTATGTCCACTACATTGCTTTCTGTGGCTCTGGCTCAGGCGGTAGAGCATGTTGCCCACTTTTCGGAAGATTGGCAGTTCAATACCCCATTCCTCCACTCTGCATGTCGAAGTGTCTTAGGACAAGATACTGAACCCCAAATTGCTCCCAATAGCTGTTCCATCAGTGTGTGAATGTTAGTTTCTGATGAGCAGTTGGCACCTTTGCCTCCGGCATCAGTGTGTGAATATATGACATAGTGTAAAGCGCTTTGAGTGGTCAGAAGAAATTACACAATTACAGACCATTTCTCACAGTTCCAAAGAAATACACAGGACTTACTTATGCAGAGGTGTAGCAAGCAACTCTGTTCACAATACACAGTTGAATACCATTGAAAACCTCATCTATTACTTTGTTCAGGGTGCTTATTATTATTCATAGGCTTAACAAATGGACAAAAACCACACCCCCCAGTGCATAAGTGCATGCACACATGCATGAATGCACACATCCACTTACTGATGAGATCCATAATCTTTGTTAGTCTGTGTGCGAATGTGGGAGATAAATGGCAATCATTTCAATTGTCTCTGTTGGTGACTAATAATGGTTTGAGGAACCAGTCAATTATACACATGAAACATGCAATTTATACTTATAGAGATCGGAATTAGGCACAGCTAATACCAGAGTTTTATCAAAGAGAGAGGATAGAAAAAAAATCAATCTTGGAGTTGTGTCGTGCTTTTAAAGATACTGAGTGTAGGCTTCTTATTTCAAACTGAATAATTTCTCTCGTCTATGTGATCTTATTATTTAAACTTATGTTGTTTGCTGTTGAACATTTACATTTCTATACTGAACATCGTTGACCATATTGTCTCTGACAAATATCTGCCATGCCTGTGCACATCACCAATCTGTGAGAAAGAAAAACATTTTAGAAAGCTTTGTCAGTTATGTAATGTACTTCACCTATACTTCACCTGCTGGATGAGAACCGCAGAGATGGAAAGTCTAATCTTGGGATGACATATGCGTGTTGCCATATTGAAATTCAAATTCTAGGATGACAACTTGTCTAAATGATGACACGCGTCCACATGATTACTTTCTCACTCTGCGATTCAAGCAGAAAATTTAATCTCGCATGAAATGTATGGCATCAATATTGAACTAAAAGTCTCTTTTGTTTTGACAACTGACATTCTTTCCTGCGTCATTTCATCAAAGTTGGCTTTTTCAGTGGGATTTGTTTTCAACCTGAGTAGCTGTTGATAATGTATGTATCAAAAGAAACACAATTTTCCCAGTGGTGTCGTGGTTTTCTAGGTGAGGATAAGTAAGTAGTGCTTTGTTGTGAAGCTGGTAAAACTTGTAGAGAGGTAGTGGGGGGTAAATACACTTTTAAGGATAATTCAAAGGCAAAATCCCCTTTGTATACTCATAGAGTATTAGATGTGCTCCCTAGGATGTATTTTAGAAATGAAGAGTTGTACTTTAGCTTTTTGTTGTGCCCATCCTTTAAACCAAAGAGAAAAGTTGTCCATATCAACCTTTATGTGACAATTACATTTTTGGTATAAACATAAACTATTATGACAGTGTGGTCTCACTCCAATAAATCTACTGATGCTGGGGATCTCCGGTAATAAAAATCCAAATTATCAATCACATTCATGCAACCCTGCTTAGAAAAAGTGAGAAATCCTTTGTATACATAGTGTATGGTTTTAAATTCATAAGCTACTTTGGATGTGGTTGTTCAAAGTAGATAAACACATGAAGCTTTCAAAGCTGCAGCAACAACATGTCATTTATATTAAGTTGCAATGAATTCTGGTGTAGCAACTGTAAAAATCAGTCTGTCTGCCTACTCTATTCTCCCTGTATGATTCATGGATTGTTGATGGCAGCTCCAGAAAGAAAAAAAAGCATAATGGTCTTATTTGTGAGCTTTAAAAGCCCCTGCACCTGATCATCTGTAAATCCAGTATACCAGTGGATGTTTGATTGTAAAGGATCCACTCTAAAACCTTCTGATTATAACCAATGTTGTTGATCAAAGAAAGAAAAAATCTGCTATTAAATTCCAAAATAGCAGTGCTGGAATTTCAATATCTAGATGTCATGTTATGTAATCCATGGGAGATAGAAGTAATACACCAAACAAGAAATTCTGAAATAGAATATGTCGATATTTATATTTCTTCACCAGCTGGTTGCTAATGTTGTGTGCTTTGTTTGCAGAACACAGCTGCCGGCTGCTGCTGGAAAGGGGGTTGGACATAGGAAAGGAAATATTTTACATTAGGGACTATTAATTTAAATGAAGAATGCATATTTTTCAGAAAAGTTGAGAGAAAATAACAAATGCATAGCCAGCCAGCCAGCCGCTTTTGATCCATACTCTATTAATAATGTAGTAATAACTACAGTGTACTAATGGGTTGGAAAGTCCCTAACCCTAACCTTATAGCAAAATATTATAAATATTAAAATG